GTGTGTGTGTGTGTGCGCGCCTGTAGTGTAAAATCGATTTTTCTTTCTTTATATGACACCTGACTACAACATGAAATTGTTTTTGTGTATCAGACTGATAGGATGCCGTAGGGGTGCAATGTTTTGGACCAGGCACTGGGCATAAAGACCACAATATGTAAAGCATTTTTAATGATCAGAAATTGGCAACTGCACCTCTCTATTTACTCACTTGTGTAAGTAATTTGAATTATCCATCACATGACTCTTTGTTCGCCATTGCCAAATTGCTCTATAATTAGTGTGTGGCATGCACATGGAGTAAGTAGACCTTGTTCGTGGCAGAAATGAATAACGTTAATGATGGCTATGTTCCATTTATGTGTCCTAGTGAGCCTGTAATGAGCTAGCATACATAAAACCAGGACTCTGGAACTGGTACACCTTAATGGAACAGAGCCATCATTAATATTATTAATTGAACCTCTGCTTTTCATGCTATGAAAAGTTGTCAGTAACCTGTGCAAAAAAGAAATTGGCACTGAAAATATTTAATTGAATGAATAAATATAGTTGGACTAGACATCTCTCTGACATCTTCCTAGGGTTTATTTGATGGTTTGGGGGTTCTTTGGCCTATTAGGAAAAAGGTTAAAAAGCCTATAGAGACATTGTTTGCAGCCTTCGGAATGTAAAAGTGTTTGGGGAGTCCGTGCTTAGACAGCTTAATAATAGTTAATACCACTCCCTGTTGATTACTAAAGTAACAAAAGAGCACAGGGGGTAAATCCTTGGGGGCGGGTTAATACTTTACACACATACACAAACATGAACATGTGCGGTGACACACACACACACCACACACTATAGCTTAGTTTAATCTGGAACTTGAAGACCCTCTGTCCTGAAACAACCTGATAATGATGATGATGATGATGATGATGATGGATGTGTGTGTGTGTGTGTGTGTGTGTGTGTGTGTGTGTGTTTGTTTGTGAATGTAGTGATATGTCAAAACACATTGTAGTGCTGGTAGATCACACCAAAACTAAAATATAGATATCTATTTGAATTGAATTAATTTTATTTCCCTCATCCTTGCCAAGAGCCATACGTTACATTCACACCTGATTAACGAAGTGACTGTCTAAAGGTTGGAACTTCAAATATTACACTTCTAAACTGGTAGTATTGTACTGAAAAGGGTGTGTACTTTAGCATTGAGAGGCAAGGTCAGACTATTGACTTTGTCATGTAAACACCTATATCCTATTCCCTTTGTGGGTGTGAGGGCACAATCAAGGGAATGTCACACAACTAGACTTCAGCTCAATTGTTTAATATCAGCATGTAAAACTCCAGTATGATTTTGGTAGCTGTATTTCACCGATAACTACCTATTCAAGCTGTGGCCTAGAGAAGCAGAATATGTGTGTGTGTGTAGTAGCTGATTGGAACTTTTTATCTTAATAGCAAGGTTGGTACCAATGTGTAAAAAGGATAAAGTGGATTGAACAAAGAAGAGAGCGTGACTGTTGAGACACCATCACCATATTTACATTTGGCACCAGTGGAAATCTCATGATAGTCAGATAATTAAAGTTGGATGATAAGGACACAAGCTTTAATAAATCAAGATAATTACATCATGGTGTAGTGACAGTGGAATATTTAGAACAGGCTTTGCAGGATGACTAGCTACTGTACAGCCGCTTCTAGCTGCAGTGAAACCAGGCAGACAAATCTATTTCCTTTACCTAAAAATGATTTGCATCTCTGGGAAAGATTGGCTCGGAAGGCTTGTGCATTTTTAATATGACACAAACAGGCAAATTAGCATGGGTTCACTCTCATAACCATATCAGGAAGATGACTGGTATACACATTTTGCACACTCTGCATTCTATCATGTTATTAAGATAGTCATCCATCCGTCTGTGCATCCTTTCATGCATTCCCTCTGCCATACACACACAGCCATATGCTTTTAAGACAGCATCAATACTTGCAATCCAGCAGGACTCCTGGCTAGCAGAGCATGGACGCTTTAAAAGCACATCCAGCAGCTACATGCAAACCTAGTGCAAAGTGTACACACACTATGCACGCACACACACACTCAGACTAGACATATCATCAGAAAACACAGTAAGAGAGGCAGAGAGAGAAAATGTCCTCTAACTGTCCCACTTAGCGCTGAGCTTCACTCAGGGGGCTGAAATGGGAACCCTATTTAGACAGATGGGGGAGGAAGAGAGGGTGTGTGTGTAAAGATAATAGGGTGTGTACTGCTTCTACTGCTTGTGTGCATGCGTCTTTCTTCTCTTTCACAGTAAATAGAGAAATTAATTAATCATTAGGTTCTGAAGAAAGCACATGTTGCGTTTTGCAAACACCAAACTGACTAAAACCACTCAGAAACACCATGAAAAGCTTGTGAACCACAATTCTTGTTACATATCTTATTTTGTAATAGTTAGCCTAATATTTACCTTAAACTGCAAAAATGTCAAACGCCTGCTTTCTTTATTCATTTCTTTGTATTAAATAGGTATTATCCACTAAACCCTGTTGCTTTCCCTCGGAAACCTGGTTCAGCAGTGTAAAATAGATTGTAAAGGCTGGTGCAGGTTGCCATATTTATGATAATATTCTTAATTACAGAATATTCAAATATTACATACCAGCAGTAACGATTTAAGCAGCAGAACTATGTGCATTTCCACTCTAAGAAGGCAGCTAAATCCTTTGTCTCGTCATGTGATAACTGAGCCCACTCATCAGTCTCCACTCATAGCCAGCCATCTGCTGCTCAGAGTCAGCTTCAAGTCCATCCAATAGCCAGATGACCTGCTCATATGGCTGTAGGGCATCACACTTGGGTATCTGGTGTACCTGAAAACCTGCAGGCTGGGTGACTGACTGACTGGCAAACAGACAGGCTGGGTGACTGACTTGGGGGCTGACTGGGCAGATTATTTTACTTATTGGGGGAGAGCATGAGGAAGGTACGCTTCAGTGCTTCACTCTGGGGAAGCCCTCGAATTGTGTTTGTGTGGGTGTGAGCATGTCTGTGGATCTGTGGGTGTGTGTGTGTTGCCTTGGGCGGATGAATGCAGACATTGTTTGATAGCAGTGGGCTGGAAGAGGAGAGCCGGTACCCACAGCAACTGAGGAGGAGGAGGAGGAGAGAGAAAAGGAGCAGGGGAGGGGAGGAAGAAGGGGAAAGGGGGTTTGTTAACTGGGTCGGGGTATCAGGGAGATTCGTAGGGGGTTGGGAGGATAGAATAGGCAATAAAAAGAGCACCCACGGTGGATCACACTCCAAAAATGGGGGAACTCTGGGTGAATCCACTGCAGGCGAAGATGACACATTTTGGGAGAGATGCTTCCAAAACAGTAGCTCAACAGGAGAGGTGGGGAGAACACGTTTAACATATTTTCTTTTTTATTAGCTAAAACACCTCAATGAAAGCATGAGTTGCACATTTACATAATTATTTTATCAACACACAGTAAGACTTTGAACCATTTTACATAATATAATGTATTGTGTATGCTTAAGAGAGTAAGGAAAGGGTAATACGAACAAGTCAACAAGTTAAGACTATACATTGCTTTTTTCCCCCAGTTAGTGAACAGTTAATTGTTCTCAATGCCACAGAAACTTTGCTGGTTGCCAGGGTAGGTGCTAACTGTATAGCTAATCTTAAAAGAAAGATTATACTGTTGATCGCAAACACACACACAAACACACACACACACACACACACACACACACATTTAGGATGACAGTTAGTGTTGTCATAGCTCTCAGACACCTGGCCCTGTGCGTCCATATGGAATAGGGTTTGAGGCCATATGGCCTATATGTCTGCCCCAAACTGTATTGGAGGCATGTCTGAGCTCTGTGTGTGTGTGTGTGTGTGTGTGTGTGTGCCCTGAAATATATTTTCTAAATCCATATCCCAGCTTAAGCCCGCTCATACTGTTGATCAGCAGATCTCGTATTTGAGTCCTCTGATTCAGGCTTCTGACAGGCTTATTTTTGTTTACTTTGAGACCCACAAACAAATATGCACACACGCAACGCTGCTAAATTTATACTGTCAAACTTTGCATGAAGGTTTGATATGGCTTAATTCACAGGATGATACAGTGAGACTCATCCACAAACAAATATTCAGATGTAAAACTTACCTGCCATTAAGTAGTCTGCTTTCACTTG